TTTGCAAAAGGACATGACTGTGCCTGATTTGGTTCAGTCGAAGGAAAAATGAGAATAGAACTACAGCTGAGACTATGAAAGGGATTTCCTGCAGCAGATCATTAGGGCATTGAGAGTTTAGTAGTTCCCAAATGCTCTTTGGTCAGTGTCAATGCATGGAATACTTGAAATGTATAATTCTTCCATAATGAGTTCCACCCCCTCCTCGATACAGTTACTAGCAATAGGTGGGACAACCCCGAAGCAAACCTGGTCTCAATCTTTGATTAATAAACCACAGGATGAGGCCATTTGGATGTCTGCTCTTTGAAAAGCCAGCTGATCAGTTTGATTCACCTGCTTTTCCCCCTCAACTCTGCTTTTGTTTAATATCCCTTCAAATATTTATCCAATTCTCTTTTGAATGTTACCACTGAATCTGTAAATAAACTTTTCAAGTACTACATTCTAGAATACTATGTTAAGAACAGGTCCTCATGCCTACATTGGCTGTTTTGCCATAAATTTGTGTCCTCGGATTATTGGCTATTTTCATGGAATGATTACAGCACAGAAAGAGACCATTCAGCCTGTGGTGTCTATGCTGGCTCTCTGAAGGAGCAATTTAGCTTGTGCCCTTACGTTCTCTTCTATACCTGCACATTCTTCCTTTTCAGATGATTGTCCAATACCCTCCTGAAACCCATGATTGTACCTGACTCCATCACACTCTCAAACAGCACATTCCATATCACTGCCACAGTTTTCCTGAATTTACTCCTGGAGTTTGAATCACTGAGCTTTAGAATAAGATATGTGGTCCTAGTCTCATTACATACTTCTGGGGAGCAACAAGCAATAAAAACTTTTGCTAGTGACTGATAATGTGGCCATGCAGTCATTTCCTCCACATCCTAACAGTGAGGGTGCAGGGCAGAATGTACCTCAGGAGGTGGGTGAAAATAATTCATGATAAAGTGGGAAGAAAGTTCCAGTGGCATGGAAATTTCCTTTCAACAGACTGTACAAAACACTCCAACATTCAAGAGGCCTGAGTTCATCCAGGGCGAAGCAGCCTGCTTGCTTGGCAGCACATCCACAAACAGCAATTACCTCCACCACTGACATTTAGGAGCAGCAGTATGTACCAACTTCAAGATACACTGCAAAAATTCGCCAAATCTCCTTGGGACAGCACCTTCCCTAACCACAACCACTGCCATAGTGTTACAGAATCATACATCATAGGAACAGACCCTTTGGTCCAACCAGTCCATGCTGACCATGTTCCCAAGCTAAACTAATCCCACCTGCCCACGCTTGGCCCACATCCCTCCAAATCTTTCCTATTCATGATCTTACCCAAATGTCTTTTAAACATTGTAATCATACTTGCATCACTACTTTCTCTGGCAGTTCATTCCACACATGAACCACACTCTGTGTAAAATACAAAAAAAAGTTGCTTCTCGTCCTTTTTCAACCTTTCTCTTTTCACCTTAAAAACATGCCCCCTAATTTTGAACTCCCCAATCCTAAGGCAAAGAGCCCTGCCATTCATTTTATCAATGCCCCTCATGACTTTATAAACTTCAATAAGGTCACCCCTCAATCACCTATGCTCCAGTGAAAAAACTCCCAGTCTTTCTGGTCTATTTTTATATCTCAAACCCTCCATTCCCGGCAACAGCCTGGTAAATTTTTTGTGAACCCCCTCCAGCTTAACAATATCTTTCCTATAACAGGGTGACCAGAACTGCACACAGTACTCCAGAAGAGGCCTCACCAACATTTTGTATAACCTCAACATGTTGTCCCAACTCCGATACTCAAAGGTCTAAACAATGAAGGCAAGCGTGCTAAACGCCTTCTTAACCATCTGTCTATTTGTGATGCAAATTTTAATGAATTATATACCTGAACCCCTCGGTCTCTGTTCTACAACACCACCCAGGGCCCTACCATTAATTGTATAGGTCCTGTCCTTGTCTGTATTACCAAAATGCCGTACGTCACATTAATCCAGATTAAACTCCATCTGCCACTCCTCCGCCCTGACCCAATTGATCAAGATTTCTTCATAATCTTAGATAACCTTCTTCACTATCTACTATACCACCAATTTTGCCGTCATCTGCAAACTTACTAACCATGCCTCCTATATTCTCATACAAATCATTTGTACAAATGACAGACAAAAGTGGACCCAGTACTGATTCCTGTGGAACACCGTTGGTCACCGACCTCCAAGAAACAACCTTCTACTACCACTCTCTGTATTCTTGAATAAAGCTAATTTTATATCCAAGCTCACCCTGAATCCCATGTGATCTAATTTTATTAGTTAGTCTACCATTTGGAACCTGGACAAAGGCTTTACTAAAGTCGAAGTAAACAACGTCTACTGCTCTGCTCCCATCAATCTTTTTGGCGACTTCATTAAAAACCTCAATCAAGTTTGTGAGACATGATTTCCCTCGCACAAATCCATGCTGACCATTCCTAATCAGTCCTTGCCTCTCCAAATGCATGTAAATCCTATCTTTCAGAATCACCTCCAACAATTTACCCACTGCTGCTCTCAGACTCACAGGTCTATAATTTCCAGCGTTCTCCTTACAGCCTTTCTTAAATAAAAGCACAACATTAGCCACCCTCCAGTCCTCCAGTACTTCACCAATGTTTGTAGATGATACAAATATTTCTGCTAGCTGTCATCTTGAAGGTAGACACGTGGGAACACCACCACCTGCAGGTTCTCCTCCAATCCACACACCGCCCTGACTTGGAAATTTATCACCGTTGCTTCAGTGTCGAAGGGTCAAAATCCAGGAATTCCCTCTCTCATGACATTGTGGGTTTACCTACAGAACATGGACTCTAGCAGTTCAAGGGGCAGCTCACCACCACCTTCTTAGGGCAACCACAGATGGGTAATAAATGTTGGTTAGCCAGCAATGCCCACACCCTGTGAGTGAGTAGAAGGAAAAATGCGGACTATTGTTTTCCATTGCCAACAGATTACTGGCTGTCACTTGAATGGCAATCGCATTCTGAAGTTGTGTCCCCGTGAGATCAGGCACCACTTGTTACAATAGGCCATGAGGCTCTCCCAAAGTGCTAGATGGCAAGTGTACTTCATCAGCCAGATTCACAACACTCACAGTACCTTTCTGTGGTGATAAGGATTAGCTCCGCCATTAAAATGCAGCTCTCCACAGCAAGACGAAAGAGAAAGGTGACAGCACAAGTTGGCAGTGGGGCTGTTATAACAGCTGCTGCTTCATGGTCAGGCCCAGCATGATCGATATAGCTGTGAAATACTGGAATTGTCTCCGAGCCAGTCAAAGCATCTGAGTAAACTGAATCTGACCTACCAAAATACGTGAATCAACATCTTGTCCATTAAGATTTCCCCACTGGCAAATAGTTCCTACTGCAAACAGAGGTCTGAGATATTTAATGTTACTTAGGTTCTTGCTAAATGGCCTGATTACTTACCTGTGTGGTATTGTCTAGAACAGTTGCAAGTACCTGCAGATGAATTAGCAGATTGGTTTGACAGCTACTCTTGGTGCATGTCAGGCAAAAATAACAACTTAATATTGGTTTTGGCAAAGCTGAACAATCTCCAGTGCACTTAAAGTAAAGAATAAAGATAAAAGTCTACAGAAAGTATTCCAGTAACAGCTGCTAAGGGAAGGAACAGGGAAAGAGTTATATCCAAGGGAATCAAAATGAATGAAGGGCAAAGTCGAAAGTCTGAAAAAGGTGTAGTGTCAAATCATGAGGTGAAAGGGCGATTTTGCAGGATGGGGGAAGGTGTAGGTGTGTATGTGAGGGCAGGTTATTGATGGGAATGAGGGAAACAGAACATAACAAAGGAATGAGTAAAACCGGAGAGGATGGAGTTTACAGCTGATGAAGAAGATTCAAGGAAGATATAAATAAGAGCAAATTAAATGTCAAAAAAAGGAGGAAGCTAAAAAGAAGAGAGCTGAACAGCAAATGAGAAGTTTACAGGAACCTTGAAAGGAATCAGTAGAGACAAAGAGACTTGAGACTGAGTAGAGACTGAGGGAAGAAATCAGGTGATGACAGAAATGGGAATCAGTTGTCCTACTATGGATAATGGCCTTGCACTGGTAACCGTAAAGTGAGAATCTCATACTGTGGATGAGGGGAGTTGGTGGTGCAATTCTGCTGGGCTAGCAATCCACAGGTTTAGTATATTATTTTTGAACCTTGGATTCTGATGCCACAATATCAGCTAAATTAGGTTCATTCTTTTTAAAAGCCTGGAATTGAAAGCTAGTCATGGATAACTACAATCAATTGTTATGCTAACTGATTCGCTAATATCCTTTAGGGATGGAAATCTGCCATCCTTACTCAGTCTGGTCCACATGTGACTCTACAGTCAAGACCAATGTGGTTAACTCGTAACTACCCTCTGAACCAGCTCGGCAAGTGACCTAGTCCAAGGGCAATTAGGGACAAGCAACAAATACTGGCCTTGCCAGCAAAGCCCACATTCCATGAAAAAGATGTGAACTGTACCTCTAGCTGTGCTTTATACTGATATCAAAGGATCTCTGTGAGGCACATTCATACATGTTATGGGAAGGCGACTATCAGTGTCACCTCCTGAATATCAAGTTAAATCAACTTTTGAGTGTCCAAAACTTTCAAATCACTGAGAAAGCCCTAACAAAAGTCATTGTAAAAGGTCAACATTTGTCAGATTTAGTACAGATATTGAGAGGACAAAACTGTATGGAGGTATTTAACTCAGGGACATTGCAGCAACTAGAGCTCATCCACTTTGTTGCGTTTTTACATTTTACATGTGAATTTATTGCAGTTACTTTATTCTCTTTCATGTATCAGTACAGGGTCTTATTGTAAACAAACAATTTCCATTGCGTCAGTCTGCATCATGCACAACAGACTCCCTCATAGGTACATGAACAGTGATTCAAAGAAAATATTGAAACAATAAATAAAATAAACTAACCAACCTGAGTCACTTTTGGGGAGCAGAAAGCTGCTGAAATCTTGTTGCCTCACGCATCTGCATAAAAAACTATTCCAGATGTGATTCTTGGGACAAGTTTTGTTTGGCATCAGACAGCTGTGAAGGAAGCAAAGATGTTTTTGTTGAAAGTAGGCAGACAATTTTGTGACCATTTGGTTCAATGCATATCTGTGATATGGAATTTTAATACTCATGCAATAAGGAGAAACTGCTAAATAGTTTCGACTGATTATCAATGAATTTAGAAAATAGGGGAATTACATTAGCAACTTGATCAGTGTGCACACAGAACCGCATGTAAACATTTCTAACCCACATTGGTACAAACATGCAAACTTGTTTTGTCCAGCTCTTTAATGGGTACAGTTAAGCGAAAATTATTTTGCAAGTTTTGAATCAAAGCAAATAAACATGTTGGCCCAATGGTCAGTAACTGTATGAATCCGACTCTCAGATACATCCAAAACAGCTCCCAGAGGCAGTCCCACGCTGATCCAACCCGGCTCCCAGAGATGGGTCTGACACAACCCGACTCCGAGTGATAGTCCTGATTTGAACGCAATTCCCAGTAAAATCCCTCACCCCACCAGCTCCCAGTGACAGCACAAACCCAACAAGTTCCCAGTAACAGTCCTGACCCCACCCAAATCTAATTCAAAGGGATGGTTAAGAGATAACAAGGTGTAGAGCTGGATGAAAACAGCAGGCCAAGCAGCATCAGAGGAGCGGAAAGGCTGACGTTTTGGGCCTAGACCAGAAGGGTCAAAATGTCAGCCTTTCTGCTCCTCTGATGCTGCTTGGCCTGATGTGTTCATCCAGTTCTACACCTTGTTATCTCAGATTCTCCAGCATCTGCAGTTCCTACTATCTCTCAAAGGGATGGTTCTTGTTTTTGTCCAATGCTGATTCCACACCTTCTTTTGCATCTCCACAGCTACCAATAGCATCAATGGAAAATGTAATGAGGACAGATGTAGAATGGGCTACCGACTTGCCTTTACCCATCTCATATTATCGCATAAATTTAATATCGATCCAATACAAGTTAACATGTGTCCTTATGGCTGACAAGACAAAGACTTGGAACAAAGTACAAACACCCAGACTGGATCAGGAATAATCCACTTAGCTGCTCAATCCTACTCTTCCATTTTATAACATCATGGCTGATCTCTTTACTCCACATACTTACCTACCCTGATACCCTTTCACTATCATGTTTATCCAGCTTCTAATCATCTCCTTTTAAGAAAGAGCTTCAAGAATCACTGCCCTCTGAGAACAAAAATTCTCTTCATCTTTGCTTTAAATGAACCACTAGTTCTAGATTTTCCCTGAAAAGAAAACATCCTTTCCACATCTGTCCTGTCAAGATCCAGCAGGATTTAATACATTTTAATCAAATTATCTCTTACTGTTCTAAACTCCAGCAGATATAGGTCTAGGCTCTCCACTCTTTCCTCATGAGACAAAGTGGCAGTATTAGTTGAGTAATCTGCTCTGAACTGCTTCCTATGCATTTAAAAATTTCCTTCAATAAGCAGATCAATACTGTACAAAGTACTTCAGAAGTGGTCTCATCAAGGACACGCATAACAGAGGCATAACCTCACTACTTTTGTATTCAATTCCCCTTGCAGTAAACAATACCATCCAATTAGCTTTAGCAACTACTTGCTGTACCTGCAAACTAATAATATGTGATCCACATGCCAGAACACCCAGATCCCTTTGCATTTCAGGGCTCTACAATCTCTCACCACTGAGACAACATGCTTCTTTTTTATTCTTCCTGCCAAAATTGACAATTTCACATTTTCCCACATTATTCTCCAATTGCTAAATCTGTGTGCAGTCACTTAACCCTTCAATATCCCTCCACAGCCATTTTAAGTCTTCTTCAAAATTTACTTTCCATGCAATCTTTGTTTCGTCAGCAAATTTAACAACTAAACCTTCAGTCCCTTCATTTCATGCATTTATTTAAATTGCAAAAAGATTGAGGCACCGAATTCTGCTTCGTGTATTCTAAAATATTCCCTTAAATGTCTGCTGCTGCATCCCCATTGACTTAACCCTTAACCTAATTTGCCAGTTCACTTTAACTAGCTTTAATTTCATAAGCTTGTATTGGCGCCCAGTTAAGTTTAAAATAGTAATCAAGGACTCACTCTTTTCACCCTTTAAGTACATCATTCAGCGGGACATTTCATTGGCAATGCTTATTCTCTTGATGATATTGCAGACATCGATTGAGAATACAAGATGCTTTGCAGTAACATGGAGTTAATTCTGCTCCTTGGTTTCTTCTGATTGACCAAACAGTGTCAATTGATGAGGCTCACTCACTAACAATCAAACACGTCAACACATTTTCCCCTGAAATCATCAGAACCAACATAACAACCAGTTCTTTTCTAAGTTTTGTTTTAAATAAAAAGTTCCAGACTGTCTAAAAGGTCCCCATGGAACTTATCGAAATATATTTAGTATCAGCTGTAACTGTACTCCCATGTTTTCGCCGAATACTTAGAAAAAGGACAAACTGAGCTATTTTTATTATTGGTGGTTAAGAATCATTGTTTTTGCAAAAAAAAACTGCGTGCGTAGGAGAGAGTGGGAGTGCACTGAGTCAGATTAAATGAAGCCTTCTCTAACAAATCCAGGGAATGATCAACTAGAAATATATGGCAGATACCAAGACTGAACAAGGCACTGACTTTTGGTAGGGAGTGGGGTGGGAAAACGCAAAGGAAAAGCACAATTGCTAACTTATTTTGCTGACAATATGGCTAAAGAATACATGCAAACCGATCTATAAGCTCTTCTCCTGTTTTATAAAAAATATCGTTCTTCTTTGCATTGCCATTTTTGCAAGTTGTTCTGATGGAACAAGACAAGCTCTAACAAAAGCATCTACCTTTCAGGGTTAATCAACATTTCAATGCTTTTAAGAACTTCAGCATCTTTCACGAATTTCCACTGGGAAATAGATGATGCTATTTCGCAAACATCCCCATCCCTCAATAATGGGGGAGCACAGCACATCAGTGCAAAAAAATAAGGCTAAAGCATTTTAAATGACCTTCAGCCAGCGGTGCTGAGTGGATGATCCATTTTGGCCTCCTCCTGAGATCTCCATCATCCCAGATAACAGTTTTCAGCCAATTCGATTTGCTCCATGTGACATTAAGAAACAATTGGAGGTACTGCATACTGCAAAGGCTACGGGCCCTGACAATATCCCGGCAATGATATTGACGATTTGTGCTGTAAAGCTTGCAGCTTCCCTAGCCAAGCTGTTCCAGTACGCCTATCACACTGGCATCCACCCGACGATGTGGAAAATTGGCCAGGTATGTTTTTATTTTTCTTTATTCATTCACGGGATGAGGGCATCGCTGAACAGGCAGCATTTATTGCCCATTCCTAATTGCCCAGAGGGCAGTTCAGAATCAACCACATTGCTCTGGGTCTGGAGTCACATGTAGGCCAGACCAGGTAAGGATGGCAGTTTCCTTCCCTAAAGGACATTAGTGAACCAGATGGGTTTTTCCAATGATCGACAATGGATTCACAGTCATCATTAGATTGTTAATTCCAGATATTTATTGAATTCAAATTCCACCATCTGCCATTGTGGAATTCGAACCTGGGTCCCCAGAACATTATCTAGGTCTTTGGATAAACAGTCCAGCAATAATACCACTAGGCCAACGCCTCCCCGTCATCTGGGACTCAAAGCAGGGTGAATGCAACCCAGCCAATGACCCATTCTTGATCATTAATGATGAAAGGTGTCATCAACAGTACTATCAAGCAGCACCTGCTCAGCAATAACCTGCTCAGTGACGTCCAGTTTGGGTTCTGTCAGGGCTACTCAGCTCCTGACCCCATTACAGCCTTGGTTCAAACAAAAGATGTGAATGTTGGAGGTGAGGTGAGAGGGTTAGAGTGACTGTCCTTGACATCAAAACCACAACTGATCGACTGCTGCATCAACAGCCAGAGCAAAACCGGAGTCATTGCGAATGCGAGGGAAAATTCTGTGCTGATCAGAGTCATACAGAGCACAAAGGAAGATGGTTGTAGCTATAGGAAATGAGTTACAGTTTTGTTTTGTTGAACTGCTTTCACTGCATTATCTAAGGAAATCTACTCCAGGGGCACTGAATGAGCCAGCAGAATCCCACATGGATCGATAACGCCATTCAAGAAATCTGACTCGCCATCCTAACTTGGTCTCATGCACAATATGACTGTAGCCCCATGTAGCTGATTGTAAGCCCTGATTTTAATTTAAGACACCAATAGGATCGGAGTGATTTTGGGAGTTCCCTCTCGCTTCTGGGCTTGATTTTAAAATTCAAGGAAATCACCATATTGTATAAATGATCATTTCTCTTTAACTTGCTGCTCTATGGCTCCTCCTCGTAAAATGTAAAATACATTTGAACTTTTAATGACTTTATCTACCTTTGTTTTGACTTGCAGGGAAATGCAGAGATGAGCCTTGGAGAGTTCAAACTATTGACTGGCTACTCAGTCTTTTGGCTTAAATAGGTTGACCAGAACAATAGTTTCCCACAATGATGTATGGACTTGAATGGTTAAAGTCGGAGGAGAAAGTGAATAAACTGAGATTTTATTCCCCAGGAAATTTACAAGGCAGGATTAATTTGACCAACGTTTTCAAGATATCAATGGGAACAGGTAGCTAAGTGGTTAGAGACAGATTATTTTTGTTGGTTGAGGTTTCTAGGACATGATAGGACAGCAGAATAAGTTGAGCTAGAACTTTCATGTTCAGAATTGTTATGGTGTAAGGGAGGCCATTTGGCCCATCATACTTGTCCTGGGTTCTTTAAACGAGCGCCATTATTCAGTGCCAACCTCCTGCCTTTTTCCCATAACTTTGCACATTTTTCCTAGCTAAATGATTATCCAATGCCCTCTTGAATGCATCAACTGAACTTGTCACAACCACTCTAACGTAAAAACATAAGAACTAGGAGGAGTAGGAAACTTAACCTTTGTGCTTGCTCAGCCATTCAATATGATCATGGCTGCTCTCATCTTGGCCTCAACTCTATTTT